AACCTTGTGAATGCTAGGCAAGCAGTCTATCATTGAACTCCACCCCAGACTTGAGGTTACCATTTATTTCCCTCTGTCTCCCTGGACTTGCACTCAGTCAAGTTCCTGCTCTGACTCCTATGGTGTGGACAGGTTTTCTTCTCAGCTCTTTTCCTGAGTCTGCCCTTACACTCTGGCACGTGAGATCACCAAGTGACAATGCCATGCAGGGGCCCACCATGGCACCCCCAGGTGCCAGGCACTCCAGGTGGGCTCAACAGGTGTTTTTTTCTTATTTCAAGAAACGTATCATGAATTGGGGGTCATGGTGCACCCCTGCAATCCTAGCCCTTGGGAGGCTGAGGCAGGATCATGGAGAGTTCAAGGCCAGCCTCAACTACATAGTGAGCCCTGTCTCAAAAAAACAAACCCAACCCAACCCAACAAACCATTTCAACAAAACCCAACTCAACCCAACCAAACAAAGCAAACATGAAGCACTTTTGAAATGGATGTCACAGGAGCAGGGAAATGGCCAGACTTCTTCTGTGGATCTCCTGCTGCAAGAGAGCTGAGCAGAGGAATAGCCTGGGAGGGCAGAGCATGGCCCTTTCCCCTTTCCCCTCCTGTTGCAGGGTGTCTGGACCAAGCAGCCCTCGAGACCTAGCTGGGAGCTTCCTGGGTGTATCACTGCTGAGTCAGCCTCACTTTCAGTTCCCCCATGGCCCCCAGGGCCTGGGGCCAGCCCCAAAGCAGCTCTCAGGGTGACTCAGCATCTTCATCTCCTGCCTCCCCTGCTCTGCTGTGTTCCTTCTGCTGTTCCCTCTTCTTTGCCTAGGTCGGACTCCTAATCCCTGGGGCCCCAGTGCAACCTAGACAGATCCTCCCCGGAGGTCCCCACCATCAACCTGCTGTCCAAGACTTAGCTTTTAAGTGTCTGCCAGTCACCCAGGAAATGGCTACTTGTGCCACTTGCCCGTCTCCCCATGCTACCCTGAGTTCCATGAGGACAGGGACTTTGTCTTGTGCTGATTTCCTGCTATCCAGAGCAATCCTAGCATATGGAAGAAGCTCGGTGTTAGCCTGCTGACTGCCTGCTGGGATGAAAGGAATTTATCCATCAGAGCAGTGCCATCCAATGTACCCATGAGGTCCATGTAAATTTAATTGATTTTTTTTTTAAAGGTAAAACTGTTGGGCCAGGGATTTAGCACAGTGGTTCCGCTGCTTGCCTCACAAGCACAAGAATCCAAATTCAATCCCTGGTACAAAAAAAAAAAAAAAAAAGTAAAACTGTTACAGAGTAGTATCCTTCCTGGTTCACCAGATAAACGTTTCCAGGTCTTGAGTTGCTCCCCTTCCCTTCTGGAATTGTATTCCAAGTTCTCACCTCAAATGAAGAAGTGAACAAAATGAACAAATACAATCGTGACAAAGTTTATTTCAAAAAGTAAAAGTGAGGAATGAGGCTCCACAGAGCAAACTTGAGCTGAGTAAGAGGAAAAAGCAAGATAAAAGTACATCTTGGTGGACTACTGTGAGGAAAGCCACAACAGTAAGCTCTTTGTGACATCTGTATCCTTCTGATATAGAGGGAAGAGATGTTACCCCCGTCATGCTGGGTGTCAGATATGTCCAGTTCAAGTTCCCTGAAGTTGAAGGATAAACTCAATAAACTCAATTTTTAAAAAAAGTTTTATAGAGCAAAGTCATGAGGGGTGGGGACAATGTGGGTAAAAACTATAATGAACCAATAAGATTACAAGTATCGTTGCTTAGGGGTACTGGACGACATCATTAACCTTGGTTGATAATCTGTATTCTTAGACTTAAATCTTCTCAGTCTTAGTAGTTGTATTTTTAAAAGTTTTTATTGAGTTTATTGGTACTTTTTAAGTATACAGTGCAGTTATATTCATCATTGGGATTCTTGTACCTTTACATGACAGGTCTTGGTTCAGTCTTAGGAGTTTTAGTTTTAGTCTCAGTTTTAGTGGTCTCAGTTTTAGCGGTCTTAGTCTTTCTTAGTCGTGGAGGAGGATGGCCCACCTCTAATGAGATAATTGTCTCTGTAGGGAAAGCCCCAAAGTGTGGTACTAATAAGCTTCTGTTTATCCCTTAGGGAAATATGCAAATCTGGTCACTGTGATTTTAATCTTCTTCAACTGTGCCTCCAGCCACAGCTTGGATGTATTCTCACCCTCTACGTTGACTTCAAGGGCCCAGTCCTGTCTGACTGCCTATAGTGTTTCTAATTTAGCTGTCTTTATCACTGCTATGCCATCTATATCTTGAGGGGACCTCTAAGAACTACCAGGAGTCCTGAGGGGCAGTACTGGGATCCCTCGCTTCTCTCCCTAGCCAATCTAAGCCACACCTTCTCTCCTATCTCAAAACTCCAGTTCCTCAGTCCTATGAACCACATTTCAAGGGCTCAGGGGGCACATGTGGCTAGTGGCTACCATACTGGAGATCTCAGAGAGAACATTTCCATCAACACCAAGCTCTGTTGGACACACAACTTTCCTCTTTGTATCCTTTGCCTGGAATGCCTGAGTTGGCCCTTAATAAAAGTCCTAGTCAGTTAGAATATGGCACTCTCATTTAGTATAACCTGGGAGTGGTGGCGCATGCTTGTAACTCTAGAATTCAGGAGGTTGAGGCAGGAGGATTGCTGTGAATTGAGGTCAGTTAGGGCTCTACAGTGAGTTCGAAGCCAGCCTGAACTACACAGTGAGACCTCATCTAAAAAAAAAAAAAAATCAACCTGCTCTACATAGTGAGAGTTTTCTCAAAACAAAAAGGCTGGGAATGTAGCTCAGTGGTAGAACACTCATTGTGTATACATTAGCCCTAGGTTTAATCCCCAGCACTGCTAAAATAAATATTAATAAAACAAACAACAAGGGGAAAAAAATGAGAACCAAGACCTGTAATGTAAAGGTACAAGACCCCAGTAATGAATGTAACTGTACTGTACACCTAGAATGTACCAATAAACTCAATAAAAAAAAATTTAAAATCTATTCAGTAATTCTACCTGGCAGAATGTATCTTTAAGTAAGGCCGGGTGTGGTGGTGCCTGACTGTAATCCCAGCACTTGGGAGGCTGAGGCTGGAGGATCGCTGTGAGTTTGAGATCAGCCTGGGCTACATAGTGAGTTCCAGATCAGTCTCAACTACATAGTGAGACCTTGTTTCAAAAAACCACCCCCTCAAAAAAGAATGTATCTTTAAGGAAATAACTGTTTGATATATGCAAAAATTTAGCTACAGGATGTTCATAGTGTAGCACTGTTTTGTTTTGTTTTGTTTTGTTTTGTGTTTTTTGTACCAAGGATTGAACTCAGGACCTCCCACTAGCCAGGCAGGCACTGTGTCACTGAGCTAAATCCCTGGCCCCGTAGCACTGTTTATACTAACAGTGATGACTATGGTATTGTCATCAAAAATAGAAGACTGAGGCCAGTAATCCATGCTTGTAATCCCAGCTGTAAGGGAGGCTGAGGCAGGAGCATTGAAAATTCAAGCCTAGCCAGGCAACTTGGGGATTCAGCAAGATCTTATCTCAAAAACAAAACAAAAGGCTGGAGATGTAGCTCAGTGCAAAGGCCCTGCGTTCAATCCTCTGTACTGAATAAATAGATAGAACTGGGGGTGTAGGTCAGTGGTACAGTGGTGCATGCTTAGTATGCACAAGGCCCTGGGTTGGATCCCCAGTGCCACAAAAACGAAAAAGACTGTGTAATAGTATGAAAATATTTTCAAAATATATAACAAACTAGTTACAACACATGAATAAATTATGTGGGATTGGAGTGGAAACCAGGAAAGACTTTATCTGTAAACCCTAAAAATTTTCAGTAACATAATAATTCAATTACCAATTCATGAGCATACAGCACCATACAATTTTCTTTTCTTTTTCCTTTAAAGTTAAGTAATGTCTTTTTTGGTTGTTTGTTTTTGAGACAAGATCTTCCTATGAGGTCCAGGATGGCCTTGAGCTTTCTGGATTATAGCTGTGCAACACTGCACTCTATTTGATTTCATTTTTGTTAAAGTCCCTGAGAGTTGTAAATTTTCTACAGAAAAATGCTTGAGTAATTGCTCAACGAATAGCAACTGAGTTCACACAGAGAAAAGAAAGGATATTTGCCAAAATATAAGGAGTAGCTGCCTGTAGGTGGATTGAATTGATTTCATCATCTTGGCTCTTCTCCCTTTTTCTGTAAACGCGTTTTTTTTTTTTTAATAAGGGAGAGGAACAATAAAAATATTTATTTTTTCAAATTCCCAGCTCCAGCTAATTCTCCAGGAAGACTTCCTTAGGTCCTTTCCTGGGTCGAAGACACCACTCACACCCCAGCCCTATGGCTACGGCTCACGGGGTCCACTAGAGTTCAAGCCTCTGGAGCCCACACCTCATAGCAGCAAGTCCAATGAATGAATGGATGGAGGGGCAGAGCCTGCAGCCCTTCAGCAGCGTCTCAGGGGAGTGTGAGGCACACACAAGCCGCTGACTAGCTCCGACATCAAGCAAGGACCTAAAGGAGGTGATAGTCGCTTGTACGCCCTTTTTTAGGGAAAGGTGTGACTGTGACCCCCCTCTGCTCATATTGGGGGTTCCTGAGTGTCAGCCGCACGGAGGACCTGGGCGAAAAGGTGCTGAGCAAGGCCTAGGTGTTCCCCTGTCCCTCGCCCTACTGTTTTCCTTGGGGGGAGGTCAAATATGCTTAAAGAAATCGGTGCTGACTCTGAGTGCCAGGGCCCCGCCCTCCCTCCGTGCTACCTGGCGACTCAGAGTGAGTGTTCGAGTCCCCACGTGCCAACCCTAAGGCTTCTCTTCCTGTAAAATGAGGCCAATGACGAAACGAGCAGCTAGGAAAAAAGGTCGAAACTCGCTGGATAAGTTAACAGTTCCTATTTTATTTATTTATTTAT